GGCCCCACACTACAAGAAGTTGTGGAAAAATTGGAAAACGTCCAGCGGAGGGCAACAAAAATGATTAGGGGACTGGAACACATGACTTATGAGGAGAGGCTGAGGGAACTGGGGATGTTTTGTCTACGGAAGAGAAGAATGAGGGGGAATTTGATAGCTGCTTTCAACTACCTGAAAGGGGGTTCCAAAAAGGATGGCTCTAGACTGTTCTCAATGGTAGCAGATGACAGAACGAGGAGTAATGGTCTCAAGTCGCAGTGGGGGGAGATTTAGGTTGGATATTAGGAAAAACTTTTCCACTAGGAGGGTGGTGAAGCACTGGAATGGGTTACCTAGGGAGGTGGTGGAATCTCCTTCCTTAGAAGTTTTTAAGGTCAGGCTTGACAAAGCCCTGGCTGGGATGATTTAGTCGGGGATCAGTCCTGCTTTGAGCAGGGGGGTTGGACTAGGTGACCTCCTGGGGTCCCTTCCAACCCTGATACTCTATGATTCTAGGTCATTAACTTGCTCCAGCTCCTGCTCAGCCAGGACCATCTCCTACCTGCAGGCAGGCTCCTTCAGATGATCAAGTGAGCGACAGGGGTAACAGGGGAGCGGAGCAAACAAAGGGGGCTGGGCCTAGGGGGGAAGAGATGGAACAGGGGCAGGACCTCAAGGGAAGAAGTGGAGCTGGGGCAGGACTTTGTGGAGAGGCGGGGCAGGGGTGGAGCCTCAGGGGTCTGGTTACCAGCAATTAGAAAGGTGGCAACCTTAGTTGCTAGAAACTGGAACAGACCAATGGCCATACTCGATCAAGCCAAAAGTCCACCTAGTCCATTATCCAACACCCCTAACAGAACTGCCTAAAAACCTCCGGCTTTCGGTCAGAGATACTGGCCTTCTGCTCTTTTCTGCAGCTCAATGACAACTCACTGCTGCTTCCAGCTATTCTAGCTCCTAGCCAGGTTTTTTGCTCTGTGGAGTCATGGGAGACTTTTTCCTCTCAGCCACTGATAAGAGGTGCTGTCTCCTCCGGCTGCTGGAGGTAGTCATCTAAAAAAACCCTATCCTTGGCCAAGCCGCTCAGTAGAGAACTAGCACACTAGGGGTTTGGTTTGGGAAGGATGAGAGCCTCAAGGACTCCAAGGAATCACAGGGAGAGAGGCAAGAGAGCTGGAGGGGCACACACTGCAGACCAAAAATCCTGTAGGAACCCCAGGATGGGGGCAAGAATGCTGGAGATGGTGCAAAGAGAGTAGAGTCTGCTGGCCACAGCATACAGAAGAAAAGATAAGTTCAGCTCCCCCTGCTGGTAGAAGGCAGCAAGTGGCAGGTTTCTAAAAAAAACAAAACCAAAAAAACCTTTACTTCTGAATGTCAGTCTGGGGAGGCAATGGAAGTGCACTGGGGAGATAGCACTCTGCTCTTGTCTCCTTACAGCCACACACCAGACATTTAGCCATGCACATTGAGGTGTTTGAGAATATTTAGTATCACTGTCACTCATCAATTCACCTGAACAGTTCTTTTGGAGCAGTGGATGCTCACTGGGGTCAATGCTAATACCATGCATTTGTGCGCTCACGGTCCTTTGAAAAAAAAAATAAAAAGTTTTCTGTGCACCCTATAATTCCATTCCTAAAACAGAATTACAGGATCTTAATTTATCTGTCCCACCCCTCAAAAAGTAACCAAGCAAACAAGACCAGTCCATACTACCTACTAGCATACCTGCAAAATTCTATTTGAAAAATTAGGGCCAGATCTTCAACTAGAATATATCAGCATAGCTCCATTAAAGTCAATGGAGTTATACCAATGTATACCTACTGGGGATCTGGCTATAAGGTTTAAATTAAGGAAGCACAGAAACGACCTTCATTTCTTTCTTCAGTTGTATAACTCCTAAAGTGCCAAATTGTTCTCCCCCTAGAACAGAATTGTTCCATTTTTCACTGAGGAGAGAACTGACATGGCACAACTACTATTTAAACCCCTGGATGTAGGTTTACAATCTGAAAATGGACATGCCCATAAAACAGTAGCATGAATGTTACTGGCGTGTTTTCTGTTGAGGACACACTTGGCCATGACTTCTATTCTTCACGTGTATCTTTCCTACACCCAGCATTAAGGTAAAACTCCTAATAATTTTAGAAGATATTAGCAAAGATTTTCAAAAGTTATTTTGGGCGCCTCAATTTTGGGCACAAACAGCACTTATTTCTACAGATGAAAGATTCTGTATTTACTGTATAATACTATTTATAACCTTATTCTTTATTTCAAATAATTGCTTTGATCATCAGAATTTAAAAAAAAAAAAGTCACCAGAACTGACTTGGGTCCTGTTCCTAGGACTGGGCCCTTAAAATGCCAAAGATGCTAGGTCAGATAGAACCGGCTTGATCAGACAGAGAAACCTCTGTATTATTCAGCTTTCAAAAGTGATTTTATGACATGCTAACATCAATCCATAACATTTCTTCTGGATCTTATTACCTGGAAGTAATATTGCAAATTGCTCAAAGGCGATGTAAACCCTTTATAACATAGAGATTAAAAAGCATTAATTTTTCATGCATACATTTGTAAGCTGCTGATGAACAACAGCACTGATCCGCCACTGTGCTCGTTCAGGACTGGCACATTGCTCCATGTGAAAGGACACTATAGACATTGTACATAATTCAGCACCTGAACACAGTTACAGCACAGAAGCTCGAGCACACTCCAGAACTCATCTTCTCTCTTGCCTACAATCACCAGAAGTATTATCAGCTTGAAGGAATGTAGTGAAGCACTGTCTCTACAATAGAATCAGGCCTGGCAAAGCTACAGTCGCCACTGCAACATAACCATCATCTATCTTCCTCCAATGGAGCTACAGCAGCAGAATAATGGAGTTGCCGAATGTGAAGGGGATGGTGAAATAAATAATATACTGTAACTGAATAATTAAGAATTAATTATTTAAAATCCTTATTTGCATCAAAGAATGAACCATTTAAGATGTAACCTACTTTATCTCTTTCTATACCAACAAGAGGAAACAAATAATTTGTGTCAACCATAAGAGAATGCCCTGTTATGAAAGGCACCTGATTCTATGTTCTTATTCTAGTAAATATGTAAGATGTCTTCAGGTTCTTGGATTTTTTTTTTTTTTTTAATAAAAGCCCACTCTGACACGTCTATAGGGCTGCTTTGGTTTCCTTATACATAATCTGGAATAAGATACACATGGGCAAAAATTTGATGTTCAATGCTTATTATGCCAACCAGAAAACCATAAGTTAACTGTTGCAATACTTCATAATTAAAGAAATTCAGGAAACCTCCTGCCAATATGTAGGTTCTGGGGAAAGAGGTAAACACCATGTAAAGTGAGGAGGTGGGCTAACAAGCTAGACTTTCAATACAGGCGTTGTTAGTGCTCATTTCAGTCATTAGTAAGATGTTTGATGCACTATTTAAAGGTACTGAGGACCTAATTCTACCACCCTTACTCACTTTGAACCAGATTCTGATGCCCTTACCTACACTAACATTTTCCTCCTCCTCCCCCTGCAGGCCATGAGTTAATTAGTTAATTAACAGTCCCACTGATTTCAGTGGGACTACTTGCAGAGTGAGGCACTATGCAATGTGAGAAAGGATAACAGAATCAGGCCCAGAATAATTTTTCAAACAAACATTAACAGACAGATTAAACTGCCCTCTGAAAAACAAAATTTATTTGCTCTGGTAATATGGCTGGAATGAGGAGTTCTCAACACTTCATGCCTTGGTCACCAAGAACAGGAATGAATGAATGGAACACACATAGGTCAAACACATTCATTAAAAATAGATACAGGCCAGATTAGATAAGAAGATTTACATTTACTTGGCTAGGTAGATTTTGTTTGTAAAACCTTAAATAAGAGCAGTTTAGAATCTGCATAAGACCTACATGGGCGCATATACACCTGACCCAGCAAAGTAAATGTTTGCTCTGACAGAGGGAGAGCAACAACAAACTATTAACCAACACCACAACCAGGGATGTGAAATTTACCACAGATTGCTCTGTAAATCAGTCTGCCTGGAGTCTGGAAGGCACCTTAGCTCAGTGCAGTTTGTCCTTTCCAAGAATAAGTCAGATCCTTCAACAACTGGCTGTAATCACAGTGTCAAAGCCTAGGACGCAGGCAACCCCCTGCTCCCCCTCCCTCCAGAGTGGTGCCTTATGGCAGCAGCATTTGACCCCAAGCAGCTGTCAGGACATCAGGGAAGAAGGACATTGGAGGGCAGAGGGCGGGCTGCACGAAGTGGTGGCTGATAGCCCCACAAGGGCACTGCCAGCAGCGGAGACCCCAGGGGGAAGCGAAGTTTACTACTCACACAGTGAAGTGATACACGAAGCACTTCCAGCCGGTGGGTCTCTCTAGGAAGTTATAGACCCTGCCTTGGATGTTGGTCCTGCTCAGCAGCGGTCTGCGGATGCTGTAGATGGAGACCCGAGGGTCCAAGTTGATGTGTGGCCGGGGGCAGTCCGTGTTCACCACCACCATCTCTCTCTTGTAGGGCGGCTCGCCCCGATCCGGATCCGCCGGCTGGCTGGAGCCCTGCTGCATCTGCTCCTGGTCGGGGGCCATAGGGGCGTAGTGGGCATTGGGGGTGCTTTCGGCCAGCTCCAGGGCGGAGGGCTTCTTGCTGGGAGTCATGCTCCCTTTCCGGGACCCAGGCAGCCGTCCCAAGCTCCAGCGTCTCTTCTCAGGCTTGGGGGAGGAGGTCATGGCCGGAGGGGCGTAAGGGGAAGGCGGAGGAGGAGTGTGCGCGACGAAGGAGGGAAAGGGGCAGCCGCTGCAGGGACGGGAGGCAGGGATGCAACCCCGGCGCTGCCCCGGGGAAGGAAGGCGGGAGAGGGACAGCCAGCCACCGCCGGGGCGTCTCTCACACACTCCCTCCGCCGCTCCCGCAGCGCTCCTAGCCCGGCCCACCCCGGGGGACGGCCCCCGCCGGGAAAGGTACGAGGTCTCCGCCTCCCTGCCCGGCTGCCACCCGAGCCCCGGGGACAGCGGGAGCTGCCTGGTCCCCGCCCGGGGCATTCCCCGGACAGTTGGCACGGGCGGCTCGTTCCTCTTGGCGCGCGTCCAAGCTCGCGCCAGGCTCGCTCGGTTGGAGGAGGGTGTAAAGCAGAAAGCCCGCCCTGGGCACTGCCCGCTCCACGGGGCCGGGGCAGGTCAGACACTGCCCCGCCGCGCGCAGCCTCGCCCGCCTGCCTGCCGGTCGGTGGCAGCGGAGATGGGGCTCGGGTGCTGCCTTGGGGTTGGAGCAGGTAATGGGGACCGGATTGTCTCTGTGGGACGGATGAGCCAGACGCCAGCCCTGGGAAGGGAAAGGAAAGAGCCGCTCTTTGGGTTGGATTGTTTTTTGTTTTGTTGTTGTTGTTTTTTTTTTTAAAATGGATGATTGGTGGGGCTTACATTAAGGGGCAATTTCCAGAGGGGTTTCGCTTGTGTCCTTGTTTCAACCAAGCAGGGGAGAAAAGGCCCTAGCCAACCTCTGTTCAGGTGACTGTCCCTTCTGTGGAGATTGGGTCCAACGCTGGTGCAGAGAGCAGCCTCTTCTTTCTGGAGTAAAGGAGGATTGGGAAGAGAGGACAGCACCATGGCTCACTGGCCAGCCACCAGGGGAGAAAGCAGCTGCATCCTTTCAAGCCTGCAGTAACTTTTTCCAAGGTGCATGTAAGAGCAGGTGAGGGGCTTTACCTCAGAAGGGTCTTTCTAAGGAACAAGCCCTTTGCAGGGCCTTATTCATATGTTGTTGATGCTGGTGCAGGGCTGTGTCTACAGACACAATGTCCTCAACTAGATCTCTAGGTGTAAATAATAATTTGTGTCTTAGACTTTGGTGTTAAACTGTTCTTTTTATTATCTCACCGCCTCCCACACACACTGCATCTGTCCATTTCCTCCACTGGTTGCATCCTATCTGACATGCAGACTCTGAGTAGGACTTGTCAGAAATTCTCCCCCAGAAGGTTTGGGGGCAGAAATTCTCCTCCAACTCTTTGGCAGCTGCATCCTTTCAAGCCTGCAGTAACTTTTTCCAAGGTGCATGTAAGAGCAGGTGAGGGGCTTTACCTCAGAAGGGTCTTTCTAAGGAACAAGCCCTTTGCAGGGCCTTATTCATATGTTGTTGATGCTGGTGCAGGGCTGTGTCTACAGACACAATGTTCTCAACTAGATCTCTAGGTGTAAATAATAATTTGTGTCTTAGACTTTGGTGTTAAACTGTTCTTTTTATTATCTCACCGCCTCCCACACACACTGCATCTGTCCATTTCCTCCACTGGTTGCATCCTATCTGACATGCAGACTCTGAGTAGGACTTGTCAGAAATTCTCCCCCTGAAGGTTTGGGGGCAGAAATTCTCCCCCAACTCTTTGGCAGCCTAACCTGGCAGGCTGATGGAGAGCTGAGAGTGTGGAAGCTCTGGGAAAGCCAGCCCCCAAGTTCCCAGGCTGTCAGCTCTTCAGCACGCCAGGCTCCCAAGGTCCACAGCTCCAGGGCAGCCCACTAGGCAGACTGCCCATAAGCCAGAGATCCCAGGGGGTACAAGGTCAGAGACAGGGCCATTCGCTTTCCCACAGTAATTAAAAAAGTTTGATTTTCATTCCAAAGCAGAATCAAACCATATTTTGAAATATTGAAATCCTCTGTGAAATGGAATTACCTTTCTCCCCACAACTCTAATTGTGAGGTTACTGGTGCAGGGACTGTCTTCCTTGTTATTTCTCTGTAACGGTGCCTTTCACAATGGGGCCCTAGTTTTTCATTGTGGGTTCTAGGTGCTACCATGATATAAATAAACGATGAATCGGTGATTGAACTAGAGAGTAATAAGTTTTGCCCCTCAGCTCTCAGACTATAGTTGACTCTCTCATCACTACCTTTAAAATATGTTTGCTTTTGTGGAGGCTGCTGCTGTATGTGTTTGGCCAGTACTGTTAGGTTATATGAGGGCTTGGCCTAGTTTTTTTGTCTACTGTTTTAAGCAATGACTTACTTTACTATGACAAATTGTTTCACGCCACAGTCACAAGAGCCTATGCTGCGGCAATTAGCTAACCATTTCTATTCCCAGACCTAAAAGGGAGATTATCTTTGGTCTGGAGAGCTGTTTTTTTTCTTCTAGCCCAGAATAGAATAGAACTAGTTAACAAGCATAGCTATGCTGAGTTCATGGGCGATACTTGTGCTTAAACAAAAATGTTGTGGTAAGATAAGGGGCTATATAAAGTTAAACAAAAACAGCCTTACTAATTGCAGCTCCATTCAAACCAGAGAGAGCTATAGAGCGGGATTGGGCCAGATCCTCAGGTGGTGTAAATGAGCATGATTTTATGATCTGGCCCCTTGTCTTTTAAATGAAGAAAAGTAAAACATTGGTCTTTCAAACAATAAAGACTAAATACATCTGTTTGAAAAATAAGCTGGCAGTGATTGTTTTTCATGAGAAAAAACAAATATAATTAGCAAGTCACGTTAGCAAAACAGCATGCCAGAAGAGGTAAGGTCTGCCTTTCATCTAATCTACAGCCAGCCAGATTGTGCCTAATTGGCACTGACCCATGTTGGGTGTGGTATGAAATCACTATCTGTCAAGAGCTTTCTGTGCCAGATAGGGAGAATTCACATGCTGCACTGTGGTGTAGCATACCACCCTTTCTGTACCCAGCCAGCTCCGCTGACCAGTACATGGGTGTTGGAGATCATAGCCATGCCTCCTTACTGTCTCCTTTGTGATACCTTCACAGCTGCCAACTTTCACGCGGTAAATAAGCATCCCGACTTTCACATGAAGCCAAAAATCAAGCTAATCCCATTTCAAAACAAGGCCAAAACAAGCCAATCCCTAAGAACCCCAACACTCTGTGTGACTAGATCCTTCCAGCGTGCAGTCTGGGCCTGCAGTGGGCCTGCTGTGCACCCCTGACTCTCCCCCCCCTTGCCCCTGCTTGCCCCTTACCCCTGCTATCTCCCCCTTGCCCCTGCTTGCCAGGAGCCAATTACAAAAAAAAAAAAAAAAAAGCAACAAGCTACAAGCCAAACAAGCAACAAGCCAAAAACTAGCCAACAAACAACTCACAAGCCAATTAAGCCAAAAACAAGCCCAATTTCTGCCCCCCCCCTTTTTTTTTTGGTGGGTTTGGCATGTCTGGGTACCTTGTGCCTCTGGGTTTGCTAGAAGAGAATAGACCTTGTGCTCCCTCAAGTGCACAGACTGTAATTGTGCCCGGTCCTTGTGCATAGGATGTAAGGAGAAAGAGAGTACCTCTCCAGACCCTGTGCACCTGTACAAAGGCCATGAAAAATCTGCGCCTTATTATAACCAATTGTATGATTTAATAACAAGGTTTTTGTTTCTAATCTAGTCAAAATGATCATTTGGTTTTTGGATTAGCCAATGGAAGTGCTGATAATGCAAAGAGGAAAGTTTTGGATTTCAGTAGAAATAAAATGATGCCTTCTCTCTGGCCACTAGTACCAACTTCCTGGGCTCTGAATTAGCAGGGATTTTAGTAATGTCTGATTGTGGTGTGCTTGGCAGCCAGCAAGACCATCCGTGTGACTCTTTGGGGCAGATTGCAAGGGTCCCCCACCTTTATTTATATGAGATGAGCAGTTACCCATATGAGAAGTGTACTCACAAACTAACTTTTTGTATATTGCCAATCTCTTTTGTTATGGGGTTTCACACGTAAGCCCAGTGTGAAAAATGAACAAATTCAATTATTATCCTCCATTGGTTGAGGCCTACCACACTGGGGTTCTGGTCCTTGACTAGGACTCCTGGGCCCTATGATGATAATATTAATAATGTTTTGATATGGAAAAGCTAATCTATTTGTTTTTTAAATAAAATAGGACATTTCTATAAAAGCAAGGCATATTTTTTTGGACAAGACAGTAACCGATCCCCGGAGATACAGAGAAGAAGATTGAAGAATCAAGAAAAATAAGGGACAACAAAGATGCCTGAAAGGTAAACTTTAAATTTGAGTAGGATGCTCTTGGAAACCTGAGTAATTGTTTTACGGATACTGTGACATGGTTTTATATTTTCTTAATTAAAACATGAGATGATGACAAAAGAGATGGTCGGAATTCTGAGACAGGTTTTAGACTTGAAGAGAGGAAACTTTTACATAACTCAAATAAATTATTTTCAGCATACAAAACAAGACAGAAGATGGACTCATCCAGTTAAAGAAGTAAAAGAAGAAAATTAAAGGTTAAAAAAATTGAGGAATATATTTGTACCTAAGTAAACAAATACAGCAAGGTGAACAAATAAGAAGATTAAAAGTGATCTAAATGATGGAGAGTATGACATAACTGAAAGCTAGTGGGATGATTCTCTCAAATGAAATGTCAAAATTGAGTTCTTAGCACCTGAATCCACAGATTGACAGAGCTAGAAGAGTACACAGAAGTCACCTACTACAGGACAGGCCCAACAAAGAAAATAACAGAACGCCACTAGCTGTCACCTTCAGCCCCCAACTAAAACCTCTCCAACGCATTATCAAGGATCTACAACCTATCCTGAAGGACGACCCATCACTCTCACAAATCTTGGGAGACAGGCCAGTCCTTGCCTACAGACAGCCCCCCAACCTGAAGCAAATACTCACCAGCAACCACACACCATACAACAGAACCACTAACCCAGGAACCTATCCTTGCATCAAAGCCCGTTGCCAACTGTGTCCACATTTCTATTCAGGGGACACCATCATAGGGCCTAATCACATCAGCCATGCTATCAGAGGCTCGTTCACCTGCACATCTACCAATGTGATATATGCCATCATGTGCCAGCAATGCCCCCCTGCCATGTACATTGGTCAAACTGGACAGTCTCTACGTAAAAGAATAAATGGACACAAATCAGATGTCAAGAATTATAACATTCATAAACCAGTCGGAGAACACTTCAATCTCTCTGGTCACTCGATTTCTGATCTAAAAGTGACTATTCTTCAACAAAAAAAACTTAAAAAACAGACTCCAACGAGAGACTGCTGAATTGGAATTAATTTACAAATTGGATACAGTTAACTTAGGCTTGAATAGAGACTGGGAGTGGTTGAGTCATTATACAAAGTAAAACTATTTCCCCTTGTTTATTCCCCCTTCCCCCCTCCCCCCCCCCCGCCCACTGTTCCTCAGACGTTCTTGTTAACTCCTGGAAATGTGCTGGAAATGGCCCACCTTGATTATCACTTCAAAAGGTTTTCTCTCCCCCCACCCTAATCTCCTGCTGGTAATAGCTCATCTTAAGTGATCACTCTCCTCATAATGTGTATGATAAACACCCATTTTTTCATGGTCTGTGTGTATTTAAATCTCCTCACTGTACTTTCCACTTTATGCATCCGATGAAGTGAGCTGTAGCTCACGAAAGCTTATGCTCAAATAAATTGGTTAGTCTCTAAGGTGCCACAAGTCCTCCTTTTCTTTTTGTGAATCCAGAGAATAATTACTTTAATTATAATGCAGAAGAGTCATTAAGTACCTGGTATTTTATGTACAGCATGCAACATTTTCAAATATAAACAATTATATAATATGTATGCACCAATTCCAGTTTCTCATCATACAAGTTATTCTTGTCTCTCTATTCATTTATATATAAACTTTTTGTATTTTGTTTCTATTTTACAAAAGAAAAAAATAATTTAAAACAGAAGAAAATAAAAACTCTGAGGAGCACTGTATAGATAAAAGAACTAGGAATAGAAAGAAGAGGGGGAAGAGTGTCAAAAATGCATACCAAGTCAGGCAGCAATGCTTTGATACCGAAGACAGTAGTGAAATGCTTTGGATAAGGAGGATACAGGGAATTAAAAATTAAGGAGGAACTGTAATACAGTCAACATGGTCACTGCTGCTCAGTAGTAATTACAATTTACAATCTATGAAGGACACAGTAAATATTTAATAATCAGAAAGGAAAGGTTAATAAGATATGATATTGTTAACTTATTATAACAAGGTACCATGTTATACATTTGCATCTGGAGGAAGATGGTACATTTGGAATTGGATTTTAAAAGGTGAGCAGCATTGGCCTAATTCTGCTCCCATTAAAGTCTATGGCAAAATTCCCAGCTCCATTGACGTTGATAGGAGCAGAGCGAGTCCATCATTCAGCACTCTTAAAAATCACACCCTGAGTCTATGGTAGATCGCGAATTTTTGTCCCGCCTTGGGGCTGCTTTTATATTCATCACCCATGTTTATAGCTGAATGTGAGATGTATTTTTAAGATCTTTCTGATCTTTTGAGTTTTATATATTATATAGCTTTATATATTATTTATATATTATATTATATAAAAATGCAGAGTCACATCTTTTATCATTACTGAACATTTATAAGGCAGAGTTGGTGCAGTGAGTTACAGAAGAGGAACACGCTTTCTTTGTGTAATTAGTTCCCTGTATCTAATGTAAGAGTCTTGCAGTTTGAAAGCATATGGGTGCTCTGTGTGTCCTGAAAACCAAAGCACTTACACTGGCAATTACAGACTTCCGTGTCAGACAGTTTTTCAACATAACTAAGTTTGACTTCGATATCTGCATTCTAACTGTTGCTGCTAAGGGTTTTTTCCGTTTTCTTCTCTCTCTCTCTCTCTCTTTTTTTTTTTTTGGTGCTACTTCCTGTTTAATGAAAACTTCTGTGCAGCTGTGGAGATGGGGGTGGGGAGAGAAGTTTTTGATGTAAACAAACTTTCCATGGAGAAACAGCAAAATACGTTTTAACAACAACAACTCCTCGCTTAAAATCAGTGATAGTGCTTACCTGAATTCCACTCACTGTAGAGTCCCTTGGTTAATCATTCTGTAAGAAGTCTGTTTAAAAAGCCAACCAAAGAAATAGATAACTGTGACTCAGTAAGGAACTGAGAAGTATTGTCCGTAGTGAACTATGGTTCAGTGAAATACAGAATGTTTCAGACACTTTCATACATTAACATATGCACAGTTTTTCAAACTCTCACAATATTCACCGTTTTTCTTAATGCCCCAACTCCTGGAGGCATGTAATTACATGAGAATCTCAGCTTTCAGGGAAAAAAATGTTTCTAGCCATCACAGTTGCAAAGTAAAGCTTGAGAACAAGACTCTAAAGGATCAAAAACCAGAAAGCAAATAAAAAGAATCCTAAATTTCTTTATTTACTGTTTTTAACTCTCATTAGTTTTAAGTCAGTATCGTGATTTTTGAGGAATTGACTTATTTTTAAATGCTTAGGGTGGGCAAAAGTATATACAGGCTACTGCTTGGAGTTTTCAGTGCACATGTGAATGAATTAGACATTGTTTTAAATTGTTAATAAGTCACAATCTGCCCTCATACCACACTACTAGAATCAAAAGCTGAGATTTTTAAAGCTACCTACAATATTGGGTCACCCAAATCCCATTAAAACTAATGAGGACTGAGTGTCCAGATACTCTAGGTGATTTAGAATTTGTCCCAGTCTTCACTGTATTTTAAACTGTGCAGCACCTGAGGATCTCAGCAGTGGGGTGCATCATAAATATAATTATTATAATACTGAATAATTAAAAGAAAATGTATCAGAATGAACTATTTTAACTAAGGCCTAGAAAGTTTTACCAGCATAGCTATGGCAGTTAGGAATGGGGGGGAGGGGTGGGTGGAAATCACACCCCTAACTAACAGCTCTGCTAGCAAAGCCCAAGTGTGGACGCAATTATACTGGCCCAAAAAAGAAAAACAAAAAACACCCTTTTGCTGACATAGATCATTCCGTTCAGGGAGCTAGTTTAACCTACAAATAAAAAGCGAGGAAAAAAGAAGCTTTTGCTGATATAAGCTGTGTTTCCCAAGGGGAGGGGCCTGTTGCTGGTATAGCTCTTCCAGCAAACTTTTTAAGAGCAGAGAAGGCCTAAATTTGATAATGAAGAGGAGTTGAGATATTAGGTTTCTTTTTCTTCTTCTTTTCTTTCTGTCATAGTTCAGCACAGAGACCCTGCTTTTACTTGGTATTCAGCAAACAGCTGGTGTAGCTCAGACTCATAGACTTTAATGTCAGAAGGGACCACCATGATCATCTCCTACTCACCATGATTCCCTCCTACACATTGCAGGCCTGCATCATCGCCACTCTGAAGATGACAAAGAAAGACTCAATTTATACCAATTGAATTTACTCTGGTTTCAATCATAGATAACTGCTACCTGTGCATACTATGGCTTCCTTTGTCGAGCCATGAAATTTTTACCAGTGCAGCTACACTTGTTGCTGGCCTCTGATGGCTGAATCAGAGCTAAGCCCAAATATACACCAAGCCTTAAACATTTCTCCCCTTTAGATGCACCTATAATTGTTGTTATTGCACCTTCAATTTAAGAACAGTCCTCATTGGTATGTATTCTATTCCATTCAAGAACCCAATAACTTACTTTACTGTTCTTGGAATATTAGGATTTGGGCTCCCTGCTACTGTTTCAGAATTTTAGGCTATGGTCCTGCAGAAACTTATGCATATGCTTTACTTTAAGCATGAAAGTCATTCCACTGACTTCCCATTGAAGTCAATGGAATGACTTGCATGCGTACATGTGTGCTTAATTTTAAGTATTTGCTGGACTAGGCCTTATTTTGTTACACATGCTTGAGGAAGGAAAGGAAGGCTTGTTAAGGAAATTCCTGCTTCTTTCTGCCTTGTCTACCCACTGGGTATTTGCTCTGATTTCAGCCACTGCTGGCCAGCTATTGCTGTAGCTGTACCAATGCAAACTCCAAGTTTAGACAAGGAAACCAGTATTAGCTATCATTTATATCAGTGTAGTTTACCCCAGTATCAAGTGTTTGGCTCCATTGGTGCAAAATAGTGGCTTTGTCCATGTACACTAAAGTTTTGTTTTAGCATAGTTACACAGGTGGCTGGAATCTTATGACAAACCTCTGTTTTTACCTTTTAGTCAGTTTATTGTAACTAGGCTTTCCTGGTCTATGCTAAGTGATGGCAGCATCACACTACTAGTATCTTACTCATATTATTGTCAGGGAAAGAATGACTCACATTACAGCAGTCATTATAACATGGATGTTATGACTAGCAACCCCAGTTACAGACACAAGGTAGTTACTTGACCTGAAACATTCATGTGCACTCAATACATAACACCACAAGAGTGTGCTATCAGTTTCGTTTTAATAGCCCTCCTAGGCCTAATCTACACTGTTACTCTTCTACTAACTCTTCCCACCAGTTCAGCTCCACTGGTAGGAGTGCTAGTGGAGACAAGGCAACACCAGTCACCAGAATTTTAACCACTGCAACATCTAGCACAGCTCTCAGTAGAATCAGTGATAGCAACACTGGGAAATAGTAGGGTGAAATGGCCGGTGTAGACTACAGTTCTAGAGCATATTATCACTGCTGGCCTTCAACCCTGGAAATACAACAATAGAATGCGGATAGGCAAACAACATATATCTGCCTGTTCTGAAACATCACCTTCTTGTGGCTGCTTAAGGGTTTAACAACTGTATTAGAGAGAATAGTTCCTGACATGACTGAGCAAAGTGTGAGCGGGCCAAGCATGCATGTGTCAGTACTTGAAGTTCACATCAACTGCTCACCAGGCTCATAAATAGACATTGTCTGAAAAGAATAGAACAGCTTTTAAATGTTTGTTAGTATGATCTTTTGTTAATTTATTTAAAGAAAAATGACACAGAAAATAGCTTACAATTTAGAGGGTTGAAATTGGTTTGAGCAAATATTTTTGCTAAGAGTTAATTTGTCTGCAGCTATAGCAGTGAGGTTGGGACTATGATTGGTAGAGATAAGTAGGTCAGTTACAGGAAACAAAGAGAAACATATTATTTAGCACGTACCAGAGATGGCCGATAAACCTGACTCTGGAGGCTGTTTGGATAAGCAACCAGAGGATTGACCTACGACGATTGTCAATTTTTAAGAGCTTCATGCCCACACCCCCTAACATATCCTGCCTAAACACATGAAGTACACATCCTCCTTTATACACATTTCATCCTTGAGACCAGCTCTTACTCTTTATGATTCTTCACTGGGTTACACGTATTGGGGGATGCGCGCAATTCTTTTTTTTTTTTTTTTTTTTTTTCCTTTTCAGGAATTCTAGGGCTTACAAAGTGCCCAGGTTTTAGGCCATAAAGCACAGACCAAACAAAGCATTTAAGCTTATGAGTATTCCCACTGGCTTCATGTGCTTCCAGTTAAGTATATGCCAAAAAGCTTTGTTAGATTGGGGCCTACATTTTTATGATGAAAAGCGTTTTAATATTTGCTATTTGTTCTGTCTGCTTAGTCCCCTCATTCACATATGAATTAATGCTTCAGTTCCCTGACTGAATGACTGAAACGGTTATCAACAGGAGAATATACCAAACAAGTCACTTCCAGTTCAAACTTTCGATCAAGTGAGTCTTGCAAACATCTCTACAAATACACTACGAGTTTATGTCGGATTTAGCAGTGCTAAATCAAATTAACCCTGCACTTGTCCACACAACGAAGCCATTTTTTTTGGCATAAAGGGCTCTTAAAACTGATTTCTGTACTCCTCCCCAACGAGGGGATTAGCGCTGAAATCGACATCGCCGTTTTGAATTAGGGTTAGTGTGGATGCAATTCGAAGGTATTGGCCTCCGGGAGCTATCCCACAGTGCACCATTGTGACCGCTCTGGACAGCACTCTGAACTCGGATGCACTGGCCCGGAGTACAGGAAAAGCCCCGGGAACTTTTGAATCTCATTTCCTGTTTGGCCAGGCGAGCTCATCAGCACAGGTGACCATGCAGTCCCAGAATCAAAAAAGAGCTCCAGCATGGACCGAACGGGAGGTACTGGATCTGATCACTGTACAGGGAGAGGAATCCGTGCTATCAGAACTACGTTCCAAAAGACAAAATGCCAAAACATTTCAAAAAATCTCAGAGGCCATGAGGGACAGAGGCTACAGCAGGGACACAACACAGTGCCGCGTGAAACTTAAGGAGCTCAGACAAGCGTACCAGAAAACCAAAGAATCAAATGGATGCTCCGGGACAGAGCTCCAGACATGCTGCTTCTATGCTGAGCTGCATGCAATTCTAGGGGGGGCTGCCACCACTACCCCACCCCTGTCCGTGGACTCCGATGATGGGGTACTCTCCACTATGCCTGAGGATTTTGCAGACAGGGAAGATGGGGAGGAGGAGGACGAGCTTGAGGAGAGCACACAGCACACTGTTCTCCCCAACGGCCAGGATCTTTTTATCACCCTGACTGAAATACCCTCCCAACACAATGAAGCCAGAGAAGGGACCTCTGGTGAGTGTACCTTTTAAAATATAATACAGGTTATAAAAGCAAGCGTTTTTTAATGATTAAGTAGCCCTGAGGACTTGGGATGCATTCATGGCCATTACAGCTATTGGAAAAGTCTGTTAACGTGTCTGTGGATGGAGTGGAAATCCGCCAGGGACATCTCTATGAAGCCTTTGCAGAAGGTTTCTGGGGAGAGCAGCCTTATTCTGTCCTCCGTGGAAGGACACTTTACCACGCCATGCTAGTAGCAAGTAATCTGGTATCATTGCATGACAAAGCCTGGCAGCGTATGGTTCCGGTGTTTGCTGCCATTCAAGCAACAGCCGTTCTTTATCTCTCTGTGTTATCCTCAGGAGAGTGATATCGTTCATGGTAACCTGGTTGAAATAGGGGAATTTAATTAAGGGGACATTCAGAGGCGGCCATTCCTACTGGGCTGTTTGCCTGCGGCTGAAAAGAAATCCTCCCCGCAGTTAGCCACGCGGTGATGGTGGGGGCATTGGCGCTGAGCTGTTCGCGTTTGGCTAGCAGGGATCTTCCCTAATACCAGCCACGCGGTGTGGGGAGGGGTAAAGCGATCATCCCAGAGAATTGGATGGGGCGGGGGGTTAGTTTGGTTTCTGCTGCTGCATGTTAACAGGAAAACCGCAGCACTAAATGGCCAACTCACCGTGCTTTGCTTGGTATGGGAGAGGAGGGCGCTGCTGTTATGAAGGTTGCAGAAGCCGAAAGACTATGGCTTACCATGGCCACCTGCAAGCCGAATTCTGTTGCCCAGCACTACGTGTGTGATCTCTAATACCAAAGCCGCAGGCACTCAATATAAGATGCAAAATGCGACCTTGTACCAAAATCACATGTGCTATATAATGTGAATAGTGTTGTTCACCGTGAAAGATTGTTCTGTAAAATGTATCTTTTAAAATACTATACTCCCTTTTTTTCCTCCAGCAGCTGCAAATGTTTCAAGCCTCCCTCCTCCGTCCCAAAGGCCATCTCAGATAAGGCAGCGAAAAAAAGGCACGCGCGATGAAATGTTCTCTGAGTTCATGCAGTCGTCCGGCACTGACAGAGCTGAGCAAAATGTGTGGAGGGACACAATAGCAGAGTACAGGAAAGTGGCCGATGAACGTGAGGAGAGGTGGTGGCAGGAAGATCAGAGGAGGCATGAGGCAACGCTGGGGCTACTGCAGGATCAAACAGACATGCTCCAGCGTCTGGTGGAGGTTCATGAATGGCAGCAGGATCACAGACTGCCGCTGCAGACCCTGCTTAACCGCCCTCCCTCCTCTCCAAGTTCCATAGCATCCTCACCCAGACGCCCAAGAACATGGGGGTAGGGGAGGAGGCTCCAGGCACCCAACCACTCCACCTCAGTGGACAGCCCAAGCAACAGAAGGCTGTCATTCAAGAAGTTTTAAAGTGGCCTTTTCCTTCCCTCCTATCACACCCGACCCGGGCTATCTTGTGAGTTATCTCCCTATTTTTATAATAAATTAATAAAGAATACATGTTTTTTAAACGATAGTGACTTTATTTCCTTTGCAAGCAAGCTGTGATCGAAGGGGGGAGGGCGGCTGGCTTACAGGGAATTCAGAGTCAACCAAGGGGGCGGGTTTTCATCAAGGAGAAACAAACAGGAGTGTCACACCGTAGCCTGGCCAGTCATGAAACAGGTTTTCAAAGCTTCTCTGATGCGCAGCGCTTCCTGCTGTGCTCTTCTAACCGCCCTGGTGTCTGGCTGCGCGTATTCAGTGGCCAGGCTATTTGAATCAACCTCCCACCCCTCCATAAACGTCTCCCCCTTACTCTCACAGAGATTGTGAAGCATACAGCAAGCAGCAATAACAATGGGAATATTGGTTTCGCTGAAGTCTGAGCGAGTCAGTAAATTGTGCCAGCGACCCTTTAAACGTCCAAATGCGCACGCTACCACCATTCTGCGTTTGCTCAGCCTATAGTTGAACAGCTCCTGACTACTGTCCAGGCTGGCTGTGTACGGCTTCATGAGCCATGGCATTAAGGGGTAGGCTGGGTCCCCAAGGATAACTATAGGCATTTCAACATCCCCAACAGTTATTTTCTGGTCTGAGAAGTAAATCCCTTCCTGCAGCCATTTAAACAGACCAGAGTTCCTGAAGACGCGAGCGTCATGAACCTTTCCCGGCCATCCCACGTTGATGTTGGTGAAACGTCTCTTGTGATCCACCAGTGCTTGCAGCACCATTGAAAAGTACCCCTTGTGGTTTATGTACTGGCTGCCCTGGTGGTCCGGTCCCAAGATAGGGATATGCGTTCCGTCTATAGCCCCACCACAGTTAGGGAATCCCCCCTGCACATTTTCCAGAGTCACTACCTTTGATAGCAGCAGCTCAATGATTGCATTGGCTACTTGGATCACAGCAATCCCCACAGTAGATTTGCCCACTCCAAATTGATTCTCCACAGACCGGTAGCTGTCTGGCGTTGCAAGCTTCCACAGAGCTATTGCCACTCACTTGTGAATTGTGAGGGCTGATTTCATCTTGGTATTCTTGGGCTTCAGGACAGGGAAAGCAAGTCACCAAGTTCCATAAAAGTGCCCTTTCGCATGCAAAAGTTTCGGAGCCACGGGAATCATCCCAAACCTGCAACACTATGCGGTCCCACCAGTCGGTGCTTGTTTCCCGGGCCCAGAATCGGCGTTCCACGGCATGAGCCTGCCCCAGTAACACCATGATCTCCAAATTGCTGGGGATCGCAGTTTTAGAGAAATCTGTGTTCATGTCCTCATCACTGCACTGCCATCACCTCCTCGCCCGGTTTTTCAGGTGCTGGTTCTGCATAAACTGCACAATAATGTGCGAGGTGTTTACAATGGTCATAACTGCTGCGGTGAGCTGAACGGGCTCCATGCTTGCTGTGCTATGGCGTCTGCTCGAGCAATCCAGGGAAAAGGGCGCAAAACAATTGTCTGCCATTGCTCTGAAGGAGGGAGGGGCGGCTGACAACATGGCTTAAGGGTTGGCTTGCAGGGAATTAAAATCAACAAAGGGGGTGGCTTTGCATCAAGGAGAAACAGAATGGCCCTCTCAAGGATAGAACTCAAAACCCTAGGTTTAGCAGGCATTGATTTCACGGAGGGAGGGAGGAAGGGAGAAGAAAATGAATACAAAACAAATCTGGTCTATTTCTTGTTTTGATCCACTTCATCTATCTTTATACATCTTGCTGGCAGCAGACGGTGCATTACGACTGCTGGCCATTATCGTCTCCTGGCTGCTCATTAGAAGACGGTGCAGTAGGACTGCCGGCAGGACTGAATTGCCATGAGACGAAACTTAAAAGGGAAATGACCTGGCGGAGTCATTCCCATGTTTGCCCAGGTGCCCCTGACCGACCTACTGAGGTCGGCTAAAAGAGCACCCTGCAGTACGGCGACAATGGCTACCAGTCATACTACACTGTCTGCTGCCAAAAGGCAATGAGCTGCTGCTGTGCAGCAATGCAGTACCACGTCTGCCAGCACCCAGGAGACATATGGTGATGGTGAGCTGAGCGGGCTCCATGCTTGCCGTGGTATGGCATCTGCACAGGTTACTCAGGAAAAAAGGCACGAAATGATTGTCTGCCGTTGCTTTCACAGAGGGAGGGAGGGAAGGGGGGGACTGATGATATGTACCCAGAACCACCCGCAACAATGTTTTTGCCCCATCAGGCATTGGGATTTCTACCCAGAATTCAAATGGGCGGCGGAGACTGTGGGAATTGTGGGATAGCTACCCACAGTGCAACGCTCCGGAAGTCGACGGTTGCCTCGGTACTGTGGATGCATTCCGCCGACTAAATGCACTTAGACCATTTGTGTGGGGACACACACACAATCGACTGTATAAAAACGCTTTCTGCAAAACCGGATTCTATAAATTCAACCTAATTTTGTAGTGGCCTTGCTTTCTAGGTCTGTTCTTGGAAATGAACATTCACTTGTACAAATGTGAATGGAAAATCCACACAGAAGGCTGTGAATACCATCCAGGCAACATTCTGAGTTATATTCAACAAAGGTTCGCAAATGGTTTCTACATTGTTTGCCCAGTACTAGTTCCTGTTGTTATCAGTGTGACTGAGAGCTTCTATTTAATTTTAAAAAGCCCTAAATATTTGCCTATTTAAGAGGAGGAGCTTGTTTTATCCAAGAGCACTGCTCAGAGGGTACATTTCTATATGAATTAGGGAGCTGGAAATGCCTGTAGCAGAAGAGCACCTCCTGTGTTGCATCAGGTTTTGTTAATTTTTTTTTCTTTGGGATTAAAGCAAGAGCTGGTGGGACAAAAGGTGAATAGTTAAGTAAAATATTATAAAACCCTGTCTAAGCTCTAAGGGAGACACTCAGCCTTTACTAGGCAAGAGGAAACCAATCTCTGAGCTAGGCGCTCTATTTGTGTCTCAAGCCTGTTTTGGCAAATGCCAGCCTGTTTTCCCCACTGCCCTTTGGTTTGGTTTGTTTATTTAACTATCCAGCAATTTTCACAATGGCTCCTCTGAAAATATTTCCAGAAGAGGAACCAGAAACCTCGACAGCACCTGCAACACAGCTATGTTCTTCATTAATGCACTTCGGCCAGATTCTAGTCTCATCTGCTAGGACTTAGCCAGTATCTTGATGTTGTGTACAGTGCCATGTGTGACACTATATGCATGTATGCGTGAATGCAGAGGCATCTGAAATTAGCATCTGACTTCATTCTTTATCATTACAAAATCTAATTGCATAACACATTTGTCAAAACTCTCTTCTTTATATAGGTCACATTCTCTCTCTCTCCCCTCCACACTGTAATCAGCATGTCTGACTGAGCTCCAAAGAAATTAGCTGCTCTTTCCAAACATCGGAATTCTACAAACACCTTAAATTCTGCACTTGGATATTGGATACTGGCAGCATCTGTGGCTGCCAGAAGGATATTACAATATTTCTGGGAACAGGTTTGCTCTTGCTGGCTGAAGCAAATTCAGAAATTGCTTTGGCACAAAGGTGCACCAACAAAAGAGAGGTTGCTTAAGTCCCTTGCCTGATGACTTCCAGTAGGTCTTCCTAAAACTGCAGCTCCAGGAATTCTTTCTGCCTCAAACCTTCTGATTCAATAACATATGTGCAAATTATGATATTATATAAGTAACTTGTTATGTTGCATGTGAGTCTTACTGTCCTATACTAATACTGTGTGTACCTTAGTTTCCCTGTGTACTGCACCAATACTTGGGTGGTGGGAATTGGGTGTGTGACTTTGCTGAGGCCCTCAGGGCAGGTGAGACTGCCCAGCTATTTGCACCTATGTAATCTGAGACCCAGGACGGGGGTGCGACCAGGTGACACCTTTGGCCCAGGAAGTGAGACAAAGAGGAGGAGGGGCATGAAGGGGGTTGTCGGAGGTCGAGTGGCTGGAGGCTGGCAGTCTGCATGGGGGGACTGGAAGAGGGGGAATCCAGGGCATCTGGCCCAGGATTCCCAAGATAGACTTGGCTGAAAGTCACTGATGTCTGTAATAGCAAGCTCTGTTCTATGCTGTGGTCCTGTCAACGAAAAAACCTTCTGTTTGACGCTGGTTGAGAGTCACGTCTGACTGTGGAGTTGGGGTGCAGGGCCCTCTGGCTTCTCCAGGAGCCCTGCCTGTGCAGACTCGCTGTGGGAAGTACACGGTGTGAAAAGGGAATGCTGAATGCTCCGAGGGCAGACCCAGGAAGGTCGAAGCTGTGTAAGCTTCTTGCCCTGGAGACATTATGCTCAGGGGGAGGAGGCATGCTCCCCCAGAGTCCTGACTGGCTTCATATGGAGTAGTTCCAGCGCATCACTCGGTGACTCCGTGACAACTGGTGGCAGAAGTAGGATCAAACTGCACTCCATGGACAGGGCATCCTGCAGTAAGTGACTGGGGAGCAGTAAAACAAAGGGGGATTAGCGAGAGACAGGAGTGCTGGAGGCTCCAAGAGGTGCAGTTCCAGGAGGCGGAGGAGCCTACAGCTTAACCCCCGAGTGAGAGTGGACCCCCCGGGAAGGGCTGTAGCACTGAAGGGGTTCCTCCCAGAGATCGTGGGGAACTGAGAGAGCACAGGCCTGTGAGTCCGTGACCACTTGGGAACAGCATGGAGATGGCCTATAACCACCTCCTGAAAAAGGACATTGTAGAGCTGTGCAGAGAGAGAAGGCTGCGCATTGGAAGATTCACCAAGGCACAGCTGATTGCTCGGTTGAAAGAGAATGATTGCTCTAAGGAGCCAGTTCCTCACCCAGCTGGGGCTGTGAGAGAGGCTGGGAGCAGCCAGGCAGCCCCAGGGGTGATCCCAGCCACTGATCCAACTGGGGATGCGGGAGAGTCTGAAAGCAGCCTGGCAGCCCCAGGATCCACCTACCCGACCAGCAGGGGATCTTCCTGACCGGGTTAGAATCTAGAATCATAGAATATCAGGGTTGGAAGGGACCTCAGGAGGTCATCCAGTCCAACCCCCTGCTCAAAGCAGGACCAATCCCCAATTAAATCATCC